TGCAGTGAAAACTCTAAACCCACCTTATACGATTTGAGTTCTTGGCCGCCACTATAGTAATAATTTCTTCCTGACTCTCATCGGCCGTTGTAAGCAGCAGCAAACCTAGAGCCTGAACATCTGATTCCCAACTTAAAAATTCCGGAAAGAAATCGGTTAATTTCTTATTACCCTCCTTGCAATTGATAGTAAAAGTCAATTTTATACCGGCCGCCTTTTGAGGTTGTTTCGTTTTGAAAAACATATTTAAAGGCAGATAAGCATACTGATGTATGGCTCGGGGTATACCTCTCAGCGATATATACGATACTACCGCTTCTATCCGGGCCGTAGGTAAATGTAATAGATCAGCTATATAAAAATCCAATTCCATTTGTTCGGTAGTATCAGCCTTGATTTCTGTAAAAGTTAGAGCATCTTGAGAACATTTAATACCATCGGGAAGATTAAATACAACTTGTAATTCAGAAAGATCTATATTTGTATGCCACTTTAGTAGACCCGAACAAACAGGCAATTCTTTTAAGGCCACATTAGCTGGTATGTCCAATAGTATGGCATCAGCATCATCTTTAGTCGAAGTATCTATTGTAAATTTCAATTGAACATCTTCATAGGATTTTTTATTTATAATTTCCATATCTTGTATATCGGTGGCTTCTTTAATTTCCTGTTCCAGTTGTGTGAATTCTTCAAAAGCCTGTTGAAATGTTAACTCTTGCGTATTTAAGGGCGGCACTTGAAATATGTAGGGATCAGAACCCAAATAACCTATTCTCAATTTGCCGGTAGAACCTAAAGTAACTATAGCTCCTGGTAAACCCATTAAATTAGATCTTTGTATAGCCACAGGAGATTCATGCTTAAATTGAGCCGCCCACATAATGCTGGCATTTTCGTAGATAAAAACTTTAGAAGATTCAGAAACTATAATGGTTACCAGGCGGGCAGTGGGTTCTACAAATATAAAATTGATTAATTAAAAGATACAAAGTGTAAATAACCTAGAATAACTTACCCCAATAGTAACCCACTACAAAAGTATGAAAACATTTCGGTGCATAGTCCAATTTTAAAATGAATTCCATTTTTCCGCTATCCGTTACACATATAAAATTTCTTTCGCCCAATATCATAATCGAAGCATATTCACTGCAGTAATTTGTTTAAAAGCCATAATTAATTTAGAACCCATTTCAATTTGTTATATAGAATAATTTTTCAAGACTACCTACCTTTTGCTTTGTACCACATTCATATCTAGTATACCTTCTCCCAGACAAATGGACCATATCGGCTGATAGTGTGATTTATTTATGGAAGAATGAGAAAGATCTTGGTATCTGCAGGAGAAATGTGCGGAAAAGCAGAAAATTCAATTCGAGAATTAGTTTGTGAAATACTATAGATTAAGATTATATACTAGATAGGATGAGATCCTCAGGGCTTTAATTTGGGTCTATTAAAAGGAGCCAGATAGACTATAGACTAGACTATAACTAGACTATAGACTGACATAGATAGACTATAGACTAGACTATAGACTAGACTATAGACTAGACTATAGACTAGACTATAGACTAGACATAGGACTAGACTATAGACTAGACTAATAGACTAGACTATAGACTAGACTATAGACTAGACTATAGACTAGACTATAGACTAGACTATAGACTAGACTATAGACTATAACTATAGACTAGACTATAGACTAGACATAGACTAGACTATAGACTAGACTATAGACTAGACTATAGACTAGACTTATAGACTAGCTATAGAATAGACTAACTATAGACTAGACTATAGACTAGACTATAGACTAGACTATAGACTAGACTATAGACCTAGACTATAGACTAGACTATAGACTAGACTATAGGACTAGACTATAGACTAGACTATAGACTAGACTATAGACTAGACTATAGACTAGACTATAGACTAGACTATAGACTAGACTATAGACTAGACTATAGACTAGACTATAGACTAGACTATAGACTAGACTATAGACTAGACTATAGACTAGACTATAGACTAGACTATAGACTAGACTATAGACTAGACTATAGACTAGACTATAGACTAGACTATAGACTAGACTATAGACTAGACTATAGACTAGACTATAGACCAGACGATAGACTAGACTATAGACTAGACTATAGACTAGACTATAGACTAGACTATAGACTAGACTATAGACTAGACTATAGACTAGACTATAGACTAGACTATAGACTAGACTATAGACCAGACTATAGACTAGACTATAGACTAGACTATAGACTAGACTATAGACTAGACTATAGACTAGACTATAGACTAGACTATAGACTAGACTATAGACTAGACTATAGACTAGACTATAGATTAGACTATAAACTAGACTATAGACTAGACTATAGACTAGACTATAGACTAGGCTATAGACTAGGCTATAGACTAGACTATAGACTAGGCTATAGACTAGACTATAGACTAGACTATAGATTAGACTATAGATTAGACTATAGACTAGACTATAGACTAGACTATAGACTAGACTATAGACTAGACTATAGACTAGACTATAGACTAGACTATAGACTAGACTATGACTAGACTATAGACTAGACTATAGACTAGACTATAGACTAGACTATAGACTAGACTATAGACTAGACTATAGACTAGACTATAGACTAGACTATAGACTAGACTATAGACTAGACTATAGACTAGACTATAGACTAGACTATAGACTAGACTATAGACTAGACTATAGACTAGACTATAGACTAGACTATAGACTAGACTATAGACTAGACTATAGACTAGACTATAGACTAGACTATAGACTAGACTATAGACTAGACTATAGACTAGACTATAGACTAGACTATAGACTAGACTATAGACTAGACTATAGACTAGACTAGACTAGACTATAGACTAGACTATAGACTAGACTATAGACTAGACTATAGACTAGACTATAGACTAGACTATAGACTAGACTATAGACTAGACTATAGACTAGACTATAGACTAGACTATAGACTAGACTATAGACTAGACTATAGACTAGACTATAGACTAGACTATAGACTAGACTATAGACTAGACTATAGACTAGACTATAGACTAGACTATAGACTAGACTATAGACTAGACTATAGACTAGACTATAGACTAGACTATAGACTAGACTATAGACTAGACTATAGACTAGACTATAGACTAGACTATAGCCTAGACTATAGACTAGACTATAGACTAGACTATAGACTAGACTATAGACTAGACCAGCGGTTCCCACCGTTTTTTACTTCGCGGACCCTTGAGGAACTTATTTAACTTCACGGACCCCCATACATATTTTGATATCTTATTGTTATAAATAATTGTTCATCCGAAAATTGTCTTAGTCCTGGTCCATAAACCCTATAAAATATTCCCGTACATTGAGAATAATTAGTATTGCGGAGATGTTTTCAATTGCATGGTTTTAAATATAGAATGACTTCTAACATGATGTTTAATTTTATGATCGTGAGAGCTTTCATGTTCATTTCTCGTCAAGGTAGCGAAAAGGTTTCTTTATCAAGTATTGTCGACATGTCTGAAAGAGTCATGTTTCTAAATTTTTTTGCGATTGCATAGGAGTGAGCTGAGTATGTAAGCTAAGTTTTCGGGAAAATATGTGAAAGTTAGACTTCTTCGATGTTGTTGCGGAATGCGCTACCCACATAAAATTTGACCTGAACTTTTTGCGAATGTATTGTGAATTTGGATCTTAAATTTGAATTTTAAAAAACCTACGAATTATTTTAGCGCGTGGTTTTGACTATTTACGCAAAACGCTATGAATTTCCTGATGTTGATTTAATAATATTGGACAGCAAAATGAACTGTGTATCACGTCGGAATGGAATATTTATATTTAAAATTAACTAGATTAACACTTTTGCTTACAATTTAAAAAAAAATATTATGAAATGTGTCCTAACTTCATATTCCGGGATTCCAGTAAGGCAAATCATTATCCGTCTGATATAAAAACATTTATTTCGATACATATACATTTATAAAAATTACAAATCACGTAATACTTTACTTTATAAATGTGAAACAATAGATTTGTAGGGCCTAGCTTCATACTGATAAACGACCGAAACAATAAAATTCAAAAAGTCACCAACAAATCTGGGATTATTGAATAAAAATTGTGCATTTTAGTATTTATGAAAAATTTGGAGATATTTTTAATATTTTCTAACATATAGAGAATATTTTTTATTCATGATTTTTTTTCGTTCGTCTTCGCGGACCCCCTAGGATTTTGCTACGGACCACTAGGGGTCCGCGGACCCCCTTTTGGGAAACCGTTGGACTAGACCTATAGACTAGACTATAGACTAGACTATAGACTAGACTATAGACTAGACTATAGCCTAGACTATAGCCTAGACTATAAGACTAGACTATAGACTAGACTATAGGACTAGACTATAGACTAGACTATAGACTAGACTATAGACTAGACTATAGACTAGACTATAGACTAGACTATAGACTAGGACTATAGACTAGACTATAGAGCTAGACTAGACTATAGACTAGACTATAGACTAGACTAATAGACTAGACTATATACTAGACTATAGAGACTAGACTATCGACTAGCTAGACTATAGAACTAGACTATAGACTAGACTATAGACCTAGACTATAGATTGACTATAGGACTAGGACTATAGCCTAGACTATAGACTAGACTATAGACTAGACTATAGACTAGACTATAGGACTAGACTATAGACTAGACTATAACTAGATATTAGGACTAGATATAGACTAGACTATAGACTAGACTATAGTACTAGACTATAGGGACTAGAATAAGACTAGACTATAGACTAGGACTATAGATGAGACTATAGACTAGACTAGACTATAGACTAGACTATAGACTAGACTATAGACTAGACTATAGACTAGACTATAGACTA